ACATTAAAAAAAAAATCCACTGCCAGTGAGTCGATTTTGACTCATAGCGACCTCCATTGGGTTTCTGAGGCAGTAAATCCTTATGGAAGTAGATTGCTCAGTCTTCCTTCCGTGGAGTAGCTGGTGGGTTTGAACTGCCAACCTTACGGTTAGCAGTCAAATGCCTGAGGCACTGTGCCACCAGAGCACCTCTCCCACTCCTATATGTCTCCTTAAAAGTTTGAATTAAGTGATTATGTGATTTTAAAAGCTGATATTTTCTTAGATACATGGCACAACATTTCAAGCCTCTTGGGAATATCTGCCAAGTGGAAAAGTATCTAAGCTTAAAACCATCTGTTCTATTATCAGAAAAGACACAGGCAGGTGCAGAATCTAGTAAAAGTCTAGTAGAACAGCCCCTGGAACTTTCTGGGGTGTTGGAAATAACAGCCCCTACTATAGACAGTTATCCTTTGATCAGACCCTTGAATTTGTCCTTTAAGGGGCCATTATTTACTATAGAAAGTTAACCTTCTTTTTTTTGTCATTGTTGTTTAAATACAAATTCCCTCCCTGGACTTTTCATTCACATTGCCAGAAATTCTACAAATATAAGCTATGGGCAATTTCTAGATCTTTCTCATGACTACAACATCAGCTGAGGCTAAAATCTAAGATCTGAGTTATTCGATTAGGAAAAAAAAAACCATATATAGTTTTATAGATCAAATAGCACACTTCTTTTTACCTACAGCAACTGGGCTGCCACAGGGTGGGGGCCAGTTGGTCACAAATCACAAATCCACGGGCCCTGTGCCTTGAAGATGTAGAAAAAGATGTGGTCTGATTCCAACTGAGGACACCGAAACCAGCTGCTGCTGAGTCAGCTCCAACTCATGGCAACCCCACGTGTGTCAGGGGAGAGCTGCACTCCACAGGGTTTCTCAGCGGCTGATTTCTCAGAAGTTGATCACCAAGCCTTTTTACAGAGATGCCTCTGGGTAGATACAAACTGCTAACCTTTCAGTGAGCAGCCAAGTACATTAACACATTGCACCACCCAGGTGTTCTAAGGATACCTAGGAATGCCTCTATGCTGGATATTAACTGAAGGATGAAGGATCAAAGAGCTAGGCAATGTACCTTTTGCAAATTAGAGGAGCTCTGGTGGCACAGTGTCTAACGCATTTGACTATTAACCAGAAGGATGGTGGTTCAAACACCCTGGGCACTCCATGAAAGGAAGACTGGGCAATCTACTGCCATAAAGACTTGCCGCCTCGGAAACATAAAGGGGGTGGCTATGAGTTGGAATCAACTCGATGGCAGTGAGTTTGGCTTTAGTTTTTTGTGTATCACAGAGTTTTTCTTGTTTGTTTTCCCAGATTCTTTCTTAATGAAGTCTATGCTACCTGTGGAGAGAAAATATAACTAGAAGCAGCAGGGCAGACCAGTGCCCAACAGTCTCTACTCACCAGACTGAATTTGTCCTTCAAGGGGCCAGTGTCTGTTAGCAGTTTAGTCTTAGGGTTCATCTTTAGAATGTCTCCAGTTGTGGTGCCCAGGTAGAAAAAGCTATCATCGTCGGACATCTGGGAAGAGCACCATATGTCAGAGCACCCATGGTGAGGGATGGGAGGAGCTTTCCCTGAAACCTTCTGAAGACATACAAGGATGCTCATGACTACTTCTATCTCCTCAGACCCAATGGTGGTGAGAGCAGCATTTAGGGGAGCAGAACCCAGGCCAAACCCAGATCTGAGGAAAGTACTAGATTCCGATTAGCCTGTCCATTTCACTTGAAGTCTGTGTTTGATATTAATATGCACACTCTCGTTCTTTCTCTTTCCTTCCCTCCTTCTCTCCCATCCTTCCTTTTTTTCTGTTAGTAATTACCAGGTAGGTGGAAATTTTATTTTAGTCTTTCTGTGTCCATAGGTTTTAAGTATGGCCCCTTGCCATATGCCCATGTCATCATCCCCCCATCCACAGCTACTGCTACATCAGGACCAAGAAGAGGAAACATTTATATCCCAATGACTCCCAACACACACACACACACAGACACCCACCCCCCCACACACACACCTTAGTCCACACATGCACATTTTGTTCAGTACTGTCAGTCAGAGCTTGTCCCAAGAGTTACTTCAAATAACACTTAAAGTAATGCTTACTGTAGTGCTCATCACTATTCTTTTCATCTGTCCTGTTTGACACTCAGTTGGCCAGATTTTTCTGTTTGGGAGATCCAGTTCCCATACTCGAATTGTCCCACTGGAAAAAGATTTCACAATCAAATGACTGCATATTTGATAACTGTATCATCTCTTCTCTGCTTTCTGTATTCTGAAAGGAAGAGAACTGAACAGTGCCGAGGGCTTGTTACAGCTAAGCGCTCGACCATTGAAGATCTCTCATTTAATGCTCACAGCAATCCTAGGAGGTGGCTTTTACACATAGCTTATATATAACAGAGCAGGGACTGTCTGAACCTGAAGTGCATGCTCTATCCCATAAAATAATTCTGAGTTGGCATTGACTCAGTGACAACAGGTAAATCAAGAGCAGGTGGTAAAAAAAGTTACCCAGTAGGTGAAATCTTTAAAATTGTGCAGATGACTCTGTGAGCATTAATTGGCTATAATGTGTTACCAGCAACAAACATGAACATGAAATGCGCTTCCAGATAAGCATCATTTTTTTTTTTTTTCAGTAAGAAGCACAGGATGTTCGATAACCATATTTAAAATATTTTTAGCAGACAGGATTATGTGACAGTTATGGCATAAGTTATTTTTCCAGGACAAAAGACATGTTTCCCAGATTGTAATGAACTAATGTTTTCTGTACAAGCAATAATTGTGATTTATGAGTTCTGAAAAGGCAGAGCATCGACACGTACTTTCCCGCAGTGACAAACATCTCATCCTGGCATCGGGAGAAGATCACAGTGGTGGCGTTCCCGACATTAAGGCCGGCTGCGGGGCTGCCGCAGATGGCATCTCTCTCGGCTATGCTCCATACCACCACGCTACCAAAATGGAAGATAAAACAGGCTTTAAAAACAAGAAACCACTATTTCAGGGGTTCCAGAAAGGAATAATAATAATAAAAGGAACAAAAAATGTACACTGACCCCCAAGACATCTCCTCAATAACGCTGGATATTAGAAGACAAATGGGTGACACATAAAAATTTTGAAGGGAAATGGTTATGAGGCTAGAATCCAGGGAATCTGTCCATCTAGTTTGATGATAAAGATGTTTTTAGACATGCATGGTGCTAACGTTTATCACCTATCTATTCCATGTAGAATATTTTCTTAGGGAAATATTTCAGCAAAAAAAGAAAAAGAAAAAAGGATTCAGTAAAAAGGATAACATAAGGCAGTGTTCTCAAACTTGAATGTGCATCAGATCCATTTGGAGGGATTGTTAAAACAGACTACAGAGCCCCCACCAGAGTTTCTGATTCAGCAGGTCTAGGTTGGGGCCTAAGAATTTCCTTTTCTAATAAATCCCAGGTAATGCTGATATGAAGGATCTGGAATCACACATTGAGAAGCACTGATTTTGAGTTATATTTCCTCCTTTCTGGGTGCAATCATACAACTTAGAACTAAAGGGAGTAAACCCATTGCCGGCAAGTTGATTCTGACTCATGGCAACCACATGTGCTTCAGAGCAGAACTGTGCTCTGCAGGGTTTTTTTGGCTATAATCTTAGGAAAGAGGTCATCAGGCCTTTCTTCCATGGCATTACTGGGTAAATTCAAACATCCAACCTTTTGGTTAGAGGCTGAGGGCAAACTGTTTATGCCACCCAGGGACCTCCTAAAGTGAATAATGTCTGGGTAATAATACACCCTGGGAGAGAGAGAGAGCTCTGGTGGTGTAGTAGGTAAGGCATTTGGCTGCTAATCAGAAGATCAGCGGTTCAAGGCCACTAGCTGCTCCATGGAGGGAAGATGAGGCAGTCTACTTCTACAAAGATTTACAACCTCGGAAACCCTATGGGGTTGCTATGGGTCAGAACTGACTCTGTGGCAGTGGTTGGTTTTGGTTTTGCAGGGGTGTGTAGTGTTAAACAGCTGAAGCAAAGAATTAAAGGAAAGGAAAGCATATGTTACAAAACTCATTAATGTAAAAACATGCACATTTATATTTCCCAAATTTTCTACATGTAGAATGTATTATCAAGCATAGTCTAAAATCACATTATAACCAAAAAAAGAATTAGAAATAGTTCATTAAGGGTTGGTATAAGAACCACACACACTTAATTTTCTTTTATAGTGGGAAATTGATAGATAGTATCTAAAGTGGAAAAAATGAGAGACAAATAACTTACACAGTTATAATGATAATCACACAATGAACTGAAAAAGACTGTTAAAACCAGGTGCCTAATATCTAAGAGAAATAACACATATGTTCACAAAATCGTGTGTGTGAATGTTCCTAGGAGCATTATTCATGATAGCCAGAAAGTGGAAACAACCCAATGTTCATCAACAGATGAATGGCTGAACAAAATGTGTATCCATACAATAGAATTTTATTCAGCTGGAAGAGGAATGAAGTACTGATTCATGCTATATAACATGAATGAACTTTGAAAAGTTATGCTATGTGAAAAAAATCAGACACGAAAGACTATATATTACATGATTCCATTTATATGAAATGTTCACAATAGAGAAATTCGTAGAGACAGAAAGTGCATCAGTGGCTGCCTGGGGCAGGAGTAGGGTTGGGAGGGAGTGAGGGGGAATGGGGAATGACAGCTAATGGACACCAGGTTTCTTTTTGGAGTGTTGAGAATGTTCTAAAACTGACTGTGGTGATGGTTGAGCAACTCTGTGGATATACTGAAAACCATTCAATGGTACACCTTAAACAGGGGAATTTTATGGTATGTGAAATATTTCTCAATAAAGATGTAACCAAAAAAATAAAAAATAAGCCCTCTAAATCCAAGTGTTTCTGGAGAGTGGAACTCCTCGTGTTTGGAGGGAAGACATGTGGGGTGGCATTAGGAGACTTAACACTTTTGAATTTTGGAATTTGCTGCAGAGTAAGACCAAACAGCTTCTTTATAAACCACAGACAGGTATAACTTACATTTTTCAAGAATAATTTTAAAATTTAAAAATAAATAAAGACACCGACATTGAGAGTTGGTAAAATTAATTCCAGCACATCCAATCCATATAATGGGATGCTATGAGTCATTGCAAAGAATGCAGTGTAAGTCTACATGCATACCCATAGAAGCTGTCTTTGGTACAAAATTAATTAAAAAGCAGGTTACATTTTAAGCTGGATATATGATAACATTAAGACAAAAACAGGTACAAAAATAGGTTATAATATATTTAAATACACACACACACACATACACATATGAACACGCAAACAGTTCCCAGTGTTCCTTCTGTTCCTCTCTTTTGTATAGAATCCAGATGGTTTGGGGAGAATGGATCCCTTCCACAGATTTAGGGTTGACCCCTGATTATCCAAAATGATTCTGCATAAGCTCATCCTCTTCACCAGTGTATTCAGGGATGCATATATTGAATTTTCCTAGTACAGCAAGGTTTCTTTTTCTTTCTTTCTTTAGGCTTCTCGACATTCCTCAAATTTTCTGCAGTTTAAATAGCCTAAAATCAAGCTTAAAATTGAGAGGAGATGAATAGTTTTGCAAATTAACTGTGTTAGGGTCCATTTATCTCCCACAAGGCCCAGCCTTGGCATCTTTATCAATTTATAGGGGTGAAATGGGCCAATGGCTAAGCTCCAAGAATCTCGGGGGTAGAACCCAGGCATCAGTAGTTTTCAAAGTTCCCAGGGTGATTCCAATGTGTAGCCAAGGTTGCAAATAACTCTTTTAAGTTGAGCTAAGATTATTAATAGCATGTTACTAGAAGATTTCTGGGTATATTTCTCATTCAAAACAGTCTAATAGGGAACAAAAAAAGACCAAAGTCACTGCCACCAAGTTGATTCCAACTCATAGTGACCCCCTTTTGGGTTTCCCTGGCAGTAAATCTTGACGGAAGTAGATTGCCCAGTCTTCCTTCACGGAGAGGCTGGTGGGTTTGAACTGTCAACCTTCCGGTTAGCAGTCAAATCCCTTAGGCACTACACCACCAGAGTCAAATAGGGATGGCTCAGGGAAAATGTGACTATCTAGATGCAAAAGAATAATTCTATTAAAGGAGAAAATCTTAGGAAAATTTTGTTGACTTACTGTATATTAAGGGAACTCAACTCAGTCACTGTTAATGAGTTGATTCTGACTCATAGCTACCCCCATTGGGTTTCCAAGGCTTTAAATCTTTATGGAAACAGACTACTTCATCTTTCTTTGGTGGAGTGGCTGGTGGGTTTGAACCACCAACCTTTTGGTTAGCAGCCAAAATGCCTTCATCACACCAACACCAGGAGTCCTTATACATTAAGAGAAGAACTGTCAATACATATAAATATAAATGTAAATACATGATGTATACATAAATGTATAAATATAAAGTTTCTTCTAAATAAACCTATGACACTCAAATAAGAAAATACATGTAAAAGTGCACCAAAGTATTAAAACCTACACACACCTCAGTGCTATTTTTCTTTAGACTAATGTTCCATTAACATTTACTTAGGGATATGTACTACATTGATTGTTCTCCCCAATAAAAGGCTTTTAAATACACATTCCCCCCTGCCCCATTTTCATGTGTATGTGTTATTTGCCTACCAGATTGGACTTCTGAGTTCACTGAGGCAAAGACCATGTCTTGGTGAGGAAAATTTAAAATATCACCTGTGGACATCTGTCACCACTAGAATTTGTATCCCAGCTCTGCTCTGTCCTAGCTGGTGACTTTGTTTCCTCATCTGTCATGTGGCATCAACAGCTCCCAACTCACAGAGTTGCTATGAGGCTTAAATGAGATAATTCGGTTAAAGTGTTCAGCACACACTTGCTGCATTGTAAGTGCTCAATTTCTTTCTTTTTAAATTAGCTGTTGTCTATGAAGACAACAGATAAGAGTGTCTGTAATGATAATGATGCTGTCTCTCTTTGACTGCAACGGTTCTCGAATTTTGTTACACATTAGAATGACCTGTGAAGATTTTAAACTCTGCAAGCCCAGACCAAACTCCAGACCAATTAAATCAGACTCTCTGAAGGTGGGAACCAGGCTTTCCAGTTCACTTCAACGGGTGGCTAGGATTGAGAAGCACTGTTCTTTGGCATTTTCCTCACAGGTTTTACACACAACAGACACTCAAAAATAGACTGGCCGACACAGAATGTTAGATGAGAGAGTGTACTTGACATTGACCTGTGAAAGACACACCTGGTGGAAGACCAGTGACTTTGTTTAGTTCATTACCTTCCGTCATCTGGGCCTCCCAGTGACACCAAATACAAATCATTTGGTGAAAAGGCCAGAGCTTCGATTTTGCCCTTGTGAAGCGACAGCCGAGCAAGCAGCTCCCTTTTCTTATAATCCCACAAAATGATATCTGCCTGTGGAGAAAAATACACCGTCAGAAACACAGACAGGGTTTAAAGGATATGAGAAAACAGCTACTCCTTTGGGTGGGAAAGGAATCAGTAATAGTCACTTCTCAAGAAATTAGATCACACTCTCCACACGATAGAAAAAAAATGGAAACACTTTTTAGTGACTTTTGCTCCTGAGGATCATCAGTCATAAACCACAACATCTGTTATAAAAATTCAGACGAATTTGCTCCCAGACTGATAGAATGAAATGAAGAAAAGTCAAGGGTACAAAGAAGGAAGTGGAGAAGCACATGGCCACATAGAGTTAACAACTTGAAGTGGGGCGGTATTTCCATGGAGGCTCCTCTAAACGATTTATTTTCAGTTTATTCACCTTAAAGCCCATGAAGGTGACTTGTCCGGAGGCAATGTAAACTCCACTCTTGGAGATGGTCACACAGGAGACATTGTTACCGTGGCCATGTAGGAAATTCTGTTCATTAGTATTTATTGATTGAATGAGGACTGTGCAACCCAAAGGGTAAATCAGATGCTCCTGGTCAGGATGGCATTTCAGACCACCAGGTACATGGCCTGAAAGAGAGAAGATAAAAAGATCATCATCATCAGTGTAGAGGTGGCTGGTACTTGCTTACTTCAATATCAAAAAGAAAGGTTTTGCAATAAGCTTAGTTTAACTAAAAGAAGCTGGAGAAAACAACAACAACAACAACAACAACAACAACAAAGAAGCTGGAGAGTAACAGGTAATTAATTGTATTTTATTGCCAAGCAGGTTAGTATAGGACGCTGTTGTTATGTGCTTGTCAAGTCAGCTACTAACTCCATGCATAAAAGAATGAAATGCCATCTCTACAATTGATTGGGGATTGGACCATTGTGATCTCTAGGGTTTTCATTGGCTAATTTTTGGAAGAAGATCACCAGACCTTTCTTTCTAGTCCTCCTAGTCTGGAAGTTCAGGAGCTCTGTGGCATAGTGCCTAAGGCACTTGACTGGTAACCAGAAAGGTGGGGGTTCAAACCCACCAGCCACTCCTCAGAAGGAAGGTTGGCCAATCAACTTCTGTAGTGATACCGCCTTGGAAACCCAAGGAAGGGCTGCTATGAATCAGGTCCAACTCAATGGCACATAACAACAACAACAACAGTCTGGAAGTTCAGCTGAAACCTATTCAGCATCATAAAAACATGTGAGCCTCCAGTGACCGATGGTGGCTGAGCATGAGGTGCGTTGGCCAGGAAGCAAACCTGGGTCTCACGCATGGAAGGTGAGAATTCTACCACTGAACCACCAATATCCCCATATATACTGGTGTAGTAGAGTGCTTCTCAAACTTCAATGTGCATAAAATCCCTACTTGTTATTGTTAGGTGCCACAGAGTCAGTCCCAACTCATAGCAGCTCCATGTACAACAGAACAAAACGTTGCCCAGTCTGTGCCATCTTCACAATCATTGTCATGTTTGAGCTCACTGTTGCAGGCACTGTGACACTCCACTTCATTCTGGGTCCTCCTATATTTCACTGACCTTTTCTTTACCAAGCATGACGTACTCATGCAGAGACTGGCCCCTTTTCACCCTTTATGAACAGAATTTCCTACCTGGCCATGGTAACAATGTCTCCTGCCTGTCCATCTCTAAGAGTGGAGTTTATCTTGCCTCTAGACAAGTAACCTCTGGATAACATGATGCTTTTGATAATATGTCCAAAATACATAAGATGAAGTCTCACAATCTTCACTTCAAAAGAGCATTCTGGCTGTACTTCTTCTGAGACAGATTTGTTCATTCTTCTGACAGTCCATGGTGTATATTCAATATTTTGCCAATACCATAATTCAAAGGCATCAATTCTTCTTTGGTCTTCTTTATTCATTGTCCAGCTTTCCCATGCATATGAGGCGATCAAAAATACCATGCCTTGGGTCAGGCACACCTTAGTCTTCAAAGTGACATTTTGGCTTTTTACCACTTTCAAGAGGTCTTTGGCAGCAGATTTGCCCAAGGCAATATGTCACTTGATTTCTTGACTGATGCTTCCTTGGGCATTGATTGCAGATCCAAGTAAAATGAAATTCTTGACTTCAGTGTTTTCTCCATTTATCATGATGTTGCTTATTGGTCCAGTTGTGAGGATTTTTGTTTTCTTTATGTTCAGCCCTAATCTATACTGAGGGCTGTAGTCTTTGATCTTCATGAGTAAGTGCTTCAAGTTCTCCTCACTTTCAGCAAGCAAGGTTGTGTCATCTGCATATCTGCTTATAATTATGGATAATTGTGAAGAATGGGGATTCTAGAACATTTAATTGTGCTTAAGTAAAACCTGCAGTCATTCAAGCAGAAGAAATATATTGTGTGGTTTAAAATCAGGAAAGGTGAGTGTCAAGGTTGTGTCCTTTCACCATACTTATTCAATCTGTATGCTGAGCAAATAATCTGAGAAGATGGACTATATGAAGAACATGGCATCAGGATTTGAGGAAGACGCATTAACAGCAAATTAGCAAAATCCCTAGAGAATCCTTTTAAAAGGCAGAATCTAAAACTTTCACTCAAATCACAATAAAAATAAAATAAAGGCAGAATCTGATTTCAGGTCTGGAGTGGAGCTTGAGTTTCTGTATCGGTAACAAATGCAACACAATGCCGTTGAGTCAGATCTGAACCCCTCCTTGGGTTTGCCCAACCTTCCTTCCAAGGAGTGGCTGGTGAGTTTGAACCGCCAGCCTTCTGGTTATCAGTCAAATGCCTTAAACACTACTCCACCAGAGCTCCTATCAGTAACAAGCTCCCACATAATGTGATGCTGGTTCATGGACCAAACTTCAGTCAGCAAGGTCCTAGGGCCTATTCTTGCAATCTTAAGAAGCACCAATGCCTTTGACAGCATGTGACTCCAGCACTTCAGGCAGAAGTTTGGTAAAAATAAAAATTTGTTCTCCCACAGTGAGACTGCACTCAGCTCCCTGTCCTTCAGATAGTTGCCAAGAACCACCTTAATGCTTAAAAAGCTCTGTAATAAGTTTTAATATGAAATGGACACAGATTCTCCATTAGTATTCATCTTTGGTCAGAATTTTTTGTTATTTTTGCACATTTATTTTACAATATAAATTTTAAAGTCAGATTGTCTAGTTAAAAAGTCATGTTTATATTTTTATTGGGATGTTATTAAATGTATAGATTAAAGAGAAATGATTTTTTATTAGGATATATTATGGTCCTTTTCCAAAAACAGAGTATATTTTTCCATTAAGTCTCCTTTTATGTCCTCCAGTAGCATTCTCAATTTTTCTTCATAAAGCTCTCACACATTTCTTATTAAATTTATCACTAGGCATTTCTATCTTTTTTGGTTGCTACTTCCTTCCTCATGAAGAGTCATAAATTTATTGTATTGTCTTCTGCTTTTTAAATGAATTCTTTTTTCGTATTTAACTCCCTCTGGAATTAATTTTGGCTCATGGTATAATTCCAGTATGTAAATAGATTTTTTTTTTTCTCAAATGGCTGAATATAGTTATTGCCTAAACCATTCCTTGCACTTTTAATTAGTTTCTTTTTATGAACTAAGTTCTTATTAATACTAAAGTTTGTCTTTTGGGGGCTGTTTCTTTTAAAATATGTATCTAAACCTTTCTTTTTTTCCTAATTTCAGGCTCCTTATAAATAATATGACTATCCATATAGACAAAAGTAAAATTAGATCCCTGCTTCACACTATCCGCAAACAATACATTCCAGGTAAATCAAAGACCTAAATATGAAAAACAAGACTAAATGTATATTACACAGGTGTAGGAAATGACTCCTTAACCATGAGCGTAAAAGAACAAATCATAACAGGAAATGCTGATACATTTTTCTAACTACGTGAAAGTTTAACAGCTTCTTATAAAAAAAAAGAATAAAAAGTAAAACCAAAACCAGGAGAGGATATTTGTGATAAGGGAGCCCTGGTGACACAGTGGCTAAAGCACTTGGCTGCAAACCAAAAGGTCAGTGGTTCCAACCCACCAGGCAGCCTGTGGGAGAAAGATGTGTCATTCTGCTTCTGCACTTGACTGCTAACCAGAAGGCTGGCGGTTCGAACCCACCAGCTACTCCTAGGAAGGAAGGTTGGGCAATCTACTTCCATAGTGATACTGCCTCGGAAACCCAAGGAGGGATCACTATGAGTCGGGTCCGACTCGAGGGCAAATAACAACAACAACAACAACAATATACAAAGAACTTGTAGAAATCAATAAGAAAAACACAAACTGCTTAACAGAAAAATGGGCAAAGAATTTGGGCTGTCATTTTATGATAGAGGAAAATAAAAAGCCAACAAACATAAAAAAAATGTGTCATTTTACAAGTAATCAGGGAAATGGAAATTAAATTCAGAATGAGATACCATTTCACCTGCACCAATTCATACACGTTTTGTTTCATGACCTTGACTGCAATTCCCCACAATGCAATAGCTCTCTTTCCACTTTTTCCCTGTGGTTACCTCTTCCTTGTGTCCTTCTTTCCTATACATTCCTGCCCTCTGAGCTATCTCCCTGTGCAAACACTGCCGTTTAATCTCCCATGGTTGATTGTTCTAAGGAGTGTAACTACCTGGTGTAAATGTTCACCCCATATGCCTGTGTATTGTTTGGCTGGAAGCCATGAGAATGAGTTCAATTCCAGACCTGAACAGTGACTAAGGACCACAGTCTCAGGGGTTTCATCATTACCTATCAGACCAGTGAGCCTTCTTTTTTTTAATTATTTTGAATTTTGTTCCACATTTTTCTCCCACTTTATCTAGGATTTCCTACCCTGATCCCTTTCCAAGTGGTTGACAGTGATAGCTGGGCACCATCTAGTTCTGCTGGTCTCAAGGTCATGTAGTCTGAGGTTCTCATGGTCCACTAGTCCCTTGGACTAATTGTTTCCATGTATCTTTGGTTTTCTTCATTCTTCTTTGTTCTGGATGAGGACTGACCAATTGTTGCATCTTAGATTGTTTGCAAGCTTTTGAGACCCAGTCACTACTCAACGAAGTAGGATGTAGAACACAAAATGGTTAAAGTTTAAAAAGGCTGATGGAAGATTTTCCTTGAAAAACAAACTTGTCCACATTGAGTGTGGCTGAAGATGCACATGTCCTAGGCACAGCCATTCCACTCTTAGGTATATGACCTAGAGAAAGTCTTGCAATTATACCCATGGGCCATGTAAAAAGGTGATCCAAAACCACTGCCACTGAGTTGATTCTGACTCATAGTGACCCTCACTGGGTTTCCAAGGAGGTAAATCTTTATGGAAGTAGATTGCCAGTCTTGCTTCCACAGAGTGGCTAGTGGGTTTGAACCACTACCCTTCTAGTTAGCAGTCAGGTGCCTTATACACCATGCTACCAGAGCTCTTTATAAAGGTGGTTGGTGGAGCATTACTTATAGTAGCAAAAAGTTGGAAAAATGAAGAAATGTTCGCAATCATTAGGCATTAGAGAGATGCAAATCAAAACAGCAGTGAGGTACGGTCTTACCCCAGAACTAAGAGCAAGGTTCAACAAGACAGAAAATAACAAAT